CTACTGAATTCAATGCTGTTGAGGAATCAAATGAGGTGAGCGCAGGCTGGGCTTAGCAACATGGTGGTCATCAGAAGGCCTTACCAAGAGCTTCAGGGATACGGAAGAGACAGAGTCCAGGATAAAGCGTGCTGAGGATGGAGTAGAAGGTGACAATATGGAGGTAAGGAGTGCAGACAATTCCTCTGAGCAGCTTTTCTGCAGGAAGTAGGGGACAGTTAGGACTAAAGAACAAGCTGGAAGGAGATGTGCAGTCAAGGGAAAGTTTCTAAAAAGTGACTTCTCATTTCCTCAGAACAACTGAATCAGGCAGATTCACTGATTAAAGGAGTTTTGCCTTTTTTTTTTTAAATTTGGGACATAGTAGAACATGTGTGAATGTGGAAAAAACTTCAGAAGAGAGTCCAAAGAATCAGGAAATGGGCTCACTGATGGAGCAAGTCCCTGCACATTAGGAGGGGATGGGATCTGGGATACACATGGAGAGATTAGTCTTTGGTACAAAGGATAAGGACCCAAGTCAATCACTGATCACATAGGTATAAGAATTTAATATAAACAAAGCTTACTTCTATCTGAAGAAGAAATGTGCCTAGTTTATACTCTTCTTCCACTTTTCCAATGTCTTTAAAACTGCTCCCTGCGGGTGGTAAGAGAGGGCTGTCATCCTTTGAGAAAGATGTATGTGTGGCTTCAGAAAGGTAGGTTAGGTCAGGACATCTGTCCCAAGCAAGCAAGTGATGGAGCTAGGATCCAAATCCACATCTTTCAGCTCCCAAAACAATGCTGATTAATAATTACATCTCTTATTATGAAACAAGTTAGCTGAGTATTTATGCCTTAACTTTTTGGGGTTAATGTCTAGAAAGGCAACCGAGCTCTCTCACAAATCACCATCGACATCACAGACACCATCGAATGCTGAGCTGGAACACCCTCTGGTAGAGCCAAATAAGAGACTGTAAGTTCTAGGCCCCAGTCTTCTCCCAAGTGACAGACAGTCTAGACTGCTCACCCAGATGATGACAAGTGAAGACACAAACTCAACACAGACACTGAAAACAGAAGTGAAGAAAAGTTAAGGTTGCCAAACTCCTCCTTACCAAGACTAAAACGCAAAGGAAGAGCCTAGGGCAGTGGCTGATGAAAGCACCATGTATGTTCCTTCTCATTACACAAGCTAAAGCAGTTTCCCAACCCTGGCACTGCTGACATTTTGGACCAGATAATTCTTTGTTCTGGGGGACTGTCCTGTGCACTGTAGGCTGTTCAGTGGCATTCCTGGCCTCTACCCACTCTATGCCAGCAGCACATTTCCTCCTGTCCCAGTCACGACAACTGAACATGTCTCTGAACATTGCCAAACATCCCCTGGCAGCAGGACGGGGTGGGGAGAGAGCCTCCAACTGAGAACCACTGATCTGGACGGATTCCACTGTGAAAAAAGGAGCTAAGGACATGCAAAGTAGGCCTCCAAAGAAAGTGGAGAAAGCTCATGATTTTATTTATTTTCAGGTGACAGTTTGTGCAATCTTTACTAAAAGGGTCAAATGTTCCAAAGACACGCAATATATACCCAGAGAAGGAGGCTCAGCCCAGAGACCACACCTTACTACTTCAAGGAACTCTTGTAACAGATTCTGGAGACCAAGCAGTCAACCTTCCTCCTTCCCACACTCAGTAATCCAAGTGACTGACAAAGCATACAGAAAATCAGACACACACTCTCTGGCTCTCAAGCCATCACTCATCTTCCTATTCTATGGGAAGGAATCCATGACCTTCTGGAAACTTAGCTCCACTAACAGGCTCAAGACAGAGAAAAGCCCGTACTGCCTGAATTGCCCTCTTCCCAGAAGGACAGAAGACCACCCCTAATGGGACAGCAACACCCCGCAGATGGTTGCATGCCCACAGAGTTCTATTAATCTCCCTTGAGAGAAGGGACCCTCAGCTCTCTGTTGTCTTATATTTATTTACTCTGCCCATCGAAATCCGATGGATCTTAGACAGTTTGCTCAATGGTGTTATCCATCTCCCCATCGCTCTGGTGTCAGAGAACACCACACTCTTTCTAACGACCCAGGCCTTGAGAAGCAATTATTTTCTAAGAGTTTCTTCAAGGAGAAAACATGAAATAATTTTGATTTTACATGTTGTAAGAAAGAGATTTCGGAAACAAAAGATAATGTGTAGAGGAGCCCTTAAACTTTTCAAATTTTGCTTTTCAGTTGGCAGATGCCTGCTGTGAACGCCTATGCCACCCCCAAATGTTGCAAAAATACTTTTTGAGTATTCCTGTTGGTTTACCAAGCTTTGTTAGCTATGCTGAAGACAAAATCAACTTTATCTTGGTGTATGAATAACTGAAACAAAACCCTGTTTTAAAGTATCTGCAGTATAGCTCAGACTGGGCAATTAGGCTTCAGCCAACTCAGGACAGAAGGAGATTGTTGCAGCCTGAGGGTCAGTCCCCTCTGAGGCGCCCACAGTGCCACCGCTAGATGGTGGGCTCTCTGAGGGAGACGCGCGCCTTAGCCCATGGAGCACAGGCCGGGCCCAAAGAAGCCTCCGTAAAAGTCTGTTGTGTAAAAGAACAAAACGAGCTGTCACACGTTAGTAAGATCACTCTGGGTCGACTGTAAAAGACCTTTGTTAATTGTTGCCAGAGCAAGGGATACTCTTTTTCAGTTCTCTAGTAGTTAACTACATGAGAAACAAAAGATTATGAATTAAAAAAAAAAAGAAAAGAAAAAAGAAAAAAAGCTGGTCTCATAGTTTGTAATGGATTCTACAGGATCTCCCTAAGGATATTATTTTTTTAGTCCCCTTTTCAAAGCACAACTAAAAGGTTTTTTAAATCCCCAAGCACATTATTTACCTCTTTTAGAAGCAGGATTTGACAAAGGAGGAGGGCATGGACCAAATCAATCTTGAACAATTAAATTCAAAAGGAGAAAAGAAGGTGCACATCTAAGGTTTACAGTCACTGTTACCCAGTGAGCCCCTAACCCAGCTCTTGATCTCCAAATCCAGGATGAGGGTAAATTTAGGGTGTGAGATTAGGCCTTAGCTACAATGGCATTTTAAAACATTTTGGCAGGTGCTCTGCCAGGCAGTCTATAATTAGTGAGTATGCCTCAGAAACTTAAAATGAACATGAAGAGTTTCAGAAGCGAACAGCCAGCCTCCGAGCACTGGACCGTGTAGCCACGGGGCTGATGCTGCCTAGAACCAGCGCTGGGTGCCCGCCACAGCACACACGTGTGTGCATGCACACGCCACGTCTGCAGAGTCTCTTTTTTCAAAGCTGTAATGGCCTGACCTCAACACCTGCTGCACTTCCTGAAGACAGACAGGCACTGGAGCGCCACTCGCTCCTTGCACGAGGCTGCACTTTCTAGGAACGACCGCACACACGCAGAGGCTGGCCAGCTGCCAAGGTGGGGGCAGCCCAGCGCCTCGGGCCTGAACTTTCCCAGTGCTGTCAGGGCGGGATCCCGCTAGGAGCTGACTCAGCGGCCGGCGTGGAACTCTGCCAACCACACAGCAGTGCGGGGGCTGCCGGCAAGTCACAGATGTTTTGCTAAACCAAAGCAATCAGCCGGGAGGCGGGTCTGGGCTGGTGGCCAGGCTGCTGCTGTCAGGGGAGCTGGGATTCTCTGATCCTAGTCCGAGCTCTGCCACTGCCTCCCTGGTGATCTGAGGGAAAACCTCTGTGCATCTCAGCATCTGCCCTGCTGCCGAGCATGTCCGTGTGGATGCGGCAGAGAAAGGCACTGTTTGCATAGAAGAGCACCTGGAGCACCACCGCCTACCACGTGCTAGCTCTGTTAATCCTTGCAGCATCCTCGGAGGCTCACTTCACACTGTTGTTATTTCACAGAAGGCTCGGAGGAATTAAGAGCCCTACCAAAACATCACAAGGATAATAGATGGAAGAGATGGGATCTGAACCTCACTTTGCTGACTCTGGAATCGACTGCAAACACTGCTACTGTACAACTCAGATCAACTGTATAGGCAGGGCTCCTTGATACAAAGATGGTAATTTTCCAGCTTACAAAGGTCCTTTCTTATATGAGTTTTCAGTTGCCCTGTGCAAACCCCATAACTGATTTCTAAACAGCACTGCTGGACCACATGAAGTATACATGCTTATGAGGAATACCCAGATATTATTACCAGCTTTATCATGAGCTCTCTGCCTAAGCACCAAGTCACTTCACTCAGAAGAACTTATCATCACTCCATTCTCTGGGTGAAGAAAAGCTGCATGGCAAGTCAGAGACTGAAGAATTAGAAGGCAAACACTTGGTTGATGACAGATTCCTTAGGCTCCACCCCTTGAGATAATTCATTAGGACCCCGGAATCTGTATTTTTTAAAGCTCCCTAGATGACTCTGATGCTCTGCCACGTTTGGGAATCACTGAAACCTACCTTGGCTACAGACGGAATTTTGAGGTCTACCCTGCCCTGTTTCAAAGGGGGTGATGTAAAGGTGAGAAATGAAGTCATGTCTACAAGGCTCTTTGCTGGAAAATACACACAATGCAAAAGCTTCTCATCAACTATGTTTAGCAACAAAACAACAAAACTGTCCTTAAAGAGCATTACCCTGGGTTAGCCTGGAGCTAAGATACCATCTTAGGCAAGACTGTTCTCCTACCATACTACTAGAAAAGCTGTAATTAGAGTCACACATCTCATTTTAAGATATCCCTCATAACATTGTTGCAACCTCATTTTTCCTAAAAAAAAGAAAAAAGAAAGACTGTACTGACATTGTTTCACGTCAAATTTGGAAGGATTTATATTAGGAGTAACTCATGTATTTCATTCAAATCAAGAAAAGTCTATTCACATTTAGGCTGCTGGTCACGGAAGCAGGTTGAGAAGGCACAGACTGGCCCAGACCCCGGCCCTGGCAGTCCAGTGCCCCTCCCTGGCCAGCCTTTAGGGAGAACAAATAGCACCTACCCCCACCAAAAGACTGACCTGCTTGAGCTGCTCATCCAGATTCCAGCCCGGCTGCCCTGCTGTGGAGACTGAAGCTGAGGCCTTAGAAGCATCTTTGGTATGGTCTTCCTTAGCTTGCTGTCCATGTGGTGGGAGCCCTGGCGCTGGAAGTAGACCAGACACGGGTGCTGCTCTGGGGTCTTGACGAACCACTTTCTGCACATCAAAATACTTTGAAGCAGCCTGGGCTTCTTTCTCAGCCACCTCTTCAACTTCATCATCCCCATCCTCATCTTCCAAACTTCCTTCCTCTTCCTGAGGCTCTGAGTTCACCTTGCTCCGTTCAAAAACTCGGGCCACTGCTGTGGCTGGTGGAACTCTGGCTAAGGGACCCAGGGAAGGGTTGCCAGAAGGCCTCCCAGGCGTGGCAGAAAGCAGAGTCTGCTGTGTGACCAGCTTCTGGGCATACAAGAGCGGGGAATCTCTCATCTGCTGCCCCTGCTTCTCTCTGACATCCATCCGCAGAGGAGCCACGTGTGGCTGCGGCGGCGGCGGTGGCGGCTGCTGCTGCTTCTGCCGAGGCTGCAGTGGCTCCATCACTGCCTCAAGCTTCACCCACCAACGGGCATGGCTCTGAACCTGGGCACAGCCCAGCAGGCAGGCTAGGTCTAAACCTTCAGGTGATTAACAGAAACCAAAAGAAGGAGGGAAAAGGGGAGGAAAACTATGTAAAACACGTATAAAAAGGTTTTCTTTTCTCCAGTAAAGGCCACGAGTTCTGAACATTAAATGTATGCCCCTAAGCCTGAGTTTTAAGATGAGTGAGTGGTGGGAGTGTGGTGGTTGGGTTGGCGGGGGTGGGTAGGGGGGTAAGGAAAAGTGTGAAGAAGAGGAACAGGATTTGAGGGGCGGACTGTGGGATGAATTGTAGTAGCGGCCGACTGCTGTGGGTTTAAAAAGAAGTCAATCCAGATGACATCTGGTCTGCAAACAGCTGTGTTCTGATCTCTCTCCTTCAACATTATCAAACACTAACCTGTTTATTACTGAAAAAGCAACTGGGTTTGTACTGTACAGAGGTTGTGGGCATGAAAACCTCAATTAAAAAAGGGAAAGAAAGGCCTGCCTATAAAAGAGAATATTGCTTATGCTCCCAGGCCCATCAAAGAAAGATATTACCATCTAAGCAAGACACAGAGCTGTGAGACAGACAAAAATACTTCTCTCATAGAAAAGCAGAACCTAGCAAATTGCTTCTGGGTTTAAACTTTTCAAATTTCCCAGATCAAATTGCCAGCTTGCTTTTTGAGTGGGCTGAGCCATGCTAACTGGACATTACAGCCTCAAAAAGAATCCAATTTCAACAACATGAGAGAAAGAAACATGCAAGGAGGCAAGAGTTTCAAATTGCAGTGGTCACTCAAAAACAAACGGGGGAATTCCTCTGGAGATTTTTAAGTTAATTAATTGGAAACAGATATCAATATTGTCTAAATGAGTTAATGCTTCTTTTTTATAAACAGCCTTGTAAATCTCTTCACATCCCCTTTCTTTCTGATTCACTTCAATGATATTCTATGACAAATACAAAAAGAAAAGGCTTTCAGGCCAAAAGTATTCTAGGGGCAGGTTTATCAGCATTCTTACCAATCAGTCTCCAAACACACACCCCTTTCACACCCTCTCCTCCTCTAACCACCCCTCCTTCCATTCCTCCTTCCAGGCCCCCAGCCCCCAACAAACCTCACTTGAGTTATGTTTTCTCATCAAGTCCCCATAACTGAATGAATTACTATGCACGGGCAAATTTTAGGTGAACAGGACTTGCGACATGGCATACAATGTTGTCATCACATGAAAGAAGAAGCTGCACACAGGTTAGGACTTGGTATCTGCATTGTTCCACTATTTTAGTACTGGGTATAAAGACTAAAAAAAAAACCTAAAATGTCTAGCATCTTCAAAAATTCATGGGTAAGTAATCACACCCCTAGCAATAAAAACTGCCTGGATTTATGAATTTTTAAAAATGGATCAGAGAAAAAAGGTACAACTTTTAAAGCTATGCAAAAAAGTAGAAATTTAAAAATTCTCATTTTCTTTTTATCTAAGAAGCATTGTTTTTGCCTTTCGCATTCTGTGAAAGATTCAAATTCCAATTTGCCTCTTACTGCCTTTACTTCCTCTCTTGGCACTTTAGAAAGTGTGAGTTATGCCTGCAGCAATACTTTCATTCTGCTATAGCCCTTTTTATAGTGTAACAAAGCAAGAAAACATTTACACCCACATTAAATCCAGTTGCCAAAAGTGTTCACTTAAAATAAAAACAATGTGCATCAAAGAAAATTAAACAAAAGAATAAAGCAAGTAATTTTAATTCTCCTTATATCCATTACAGTCAATCAATCACAAGCGGGATAATTTTTCAAGCAAGTCCTGCCAGTCATTGAATAACTGCTTCTCGTCTTGTGGCACCATCTTCTCTGTGTGCTGTCCCTAGCAGAGGGGGAGGTGTCTCACAGCCTCTTTAGTAAGACTGAGATGACTCAGTTCTACAACTCGACACACACACCCTCCCCCAAAGAGCCTATCTTCTCCCGTCCCTAAGCAGTTAGTTGATCCAAACAACAATACCACCTGCCTACTTTTAGAAAACTTAATGTCTCAGAAATCTAAACTACTCCATCCTTTCACACGCCCCCTCCCCCATTTCCCCTAAAGTTCCCGGACCTCAAAGCCCAGCGCCAACGGACTGCTTGCAGCTTTGAACCCGGCCTCGCCCACCATCCCCTCTACCTTCGCTGCTAGATCCCTCTGGCCTCAGCCCTCTATAAGCCCCCTACCTCCCCCTACTCCCCAACATTCTTTATACCCCCCAACCCAACCCTACCACTTTCACCTCTACCAAGCCTTCCAAGCCAACCCGCTGGCTCTTCTTCGATCGCCCTAACCCCACCTACCCTGCCCTCTCAGTTCCTGGGGGCCCCTTACTCTTCCCATCCCTTTATCTCTAATCACCCTAATGGGCGAGGGCGCCTCCGGGCTCCTCCCAGCGCTCTCACTTTTCCTCCGCGGCCCCCGAGCTCCGCCGGCCCGCGCCTTCATGTCTCCCCTTACACACCTGCCTCCCCTCACCCCTCGGTCCCCTCCACCTGCCACATTCCCTTCTCCCGCCGCGGCTGAGGG